GACCAAGGGTCGGCAACCTATGGCCCGTGGGCCGGATCCGGAAGGCATTTGACCAACCCGTGAGCCTGATTATAAAGGACTCTATTTTTAACATGAGAGACGAGGCTTTTGAATTAGACTATCTGCCAGTTATCTTTCATGAGACTTATTTTACCAAGTTGCGTTGCCTACGTTTAATGTCAAATAATGGATACATATTTGTTATGACCCCTGGCTACATTAAAAGATAACAGAAGCGAAAGGAACGATAAAGTGAAAGAGGCCAGGGAGGGACTGACATGCGAGGTAGCAGAAATCTAAAGACAGTTAAACATACGCGCATTATACATACATGCCTCATGAATGTGTGGATGATACTGCATATGTGTACATATGTAAGTGTACATGTTTGCAACTATTTGTACTCATATGTATGGGTATATGTGCTTCGTTTTTGTTTGATGTGTGTGTGTGCGGTTCGTTTGTGGAACATTTTTCAATAACAGTTTCAAACCTACACGTCATAATTTCATCCATTTCACTTTGGTTTATTTTTTTCACTTTGAAGTATTTTGACGTTCCTTGAGGAAAAGTAATTTTTGTTAGGTATTTTGTTTTTCTGATTTCTCAATGTTTATTTTCGTTATTGTTTTAAATATTTAGGTTGACAGGGGTCTGCATATGTAATTTTCCTTAATTTTTCTTCGTCTGGCCCGCTACCCGTCCTTATAACACAATCTGGCCCGCGAGGTCGAATGAGTTGCCGACCCCTGGTATAGAGAATATCGATCACTTAGACGTCACACAAATTCCCATTTATACGTTTCCTTTACAATCACATGATCTACTTATTTAATAATGGAATCGTCCGTGTTTGCTCACTGGTGATCTCTGTTCAAACTACGGTGTCAACAATGACACTTTATTCCTATACAACAAAGGGATAAATCTCTACTTCTGTTCAAAAGAAGAGAGAGGAGTGTGAACAGGATGATAGGAAAACATATCTACTCCTAATGAGGAAAAATAAATAGTAAAAAAAATTTCAGAGTCCAGGCAGTATAAAGTGTATTTATTGAATCATAATTTCTAAGAAAAATTACTTGTAATGGAAAACAACTCCACTGATAGTGTCATACTTCTGATCACGGTGATGATGGAAGATTTTAAAGGGACAGGAATAAATGATAGTTTCAATGCAGATAGCCTTGGGTATGAACACCTAAGTGAATTTATAACTGTGCGGAAAAATATTGAGAAGGATGATAATGAAGTTCAGTGGATTCAAATGTCCAATTTCAAACACCAAAGTGATGATTGTAATTGTCAACCTTCTAAGCTGGTTGCACCTTACAAATACTTCAACTTGAATCCAGCTTTTAATTATAAATTTACCATTCGTCCTCTATTTGAATATTGCTGCCACATTTGATCTTTTGATCCTGCTACATATTTAGAGATTCTTGATAAAATCCAAAGAATAATCTGCATTGTTATTGGCCCTGACCTAGCATCTTGGCTTCAGCCACTTTCCCACTACAATAGTGTAGCTTCCCTGGGCCTTTTCTATAAATACTTTCATGGGAATTGTTCTGATGAACTTTCCTCTATTTTGTTTAGCTTTTTGTATATAAATAGTATTCACTGTAAATATTCATTGGGGTTTCATTTTTAAATGTTATTTTTATTCCTTCCCACCACAGACAAATTGTACATATAGGAACTAATTAGGACTACATAGAGACTTGAGGTATTATGGTGACTGTAGTAAGAATAGTAAGTAAGAATGTGTTGTTTTAGTGTAAGGAATACATGTTTGGGTCAATAATTGTGGCTAGCTAAGTTTAAGATAAGACAGATTGAAGACAAGCCTTCCTCATCCCCACTTTTTGCCTTGTGCCACACTTTTGTATTACTCAAAACAAATATTACTTTCCTCTATTGTACATATAGGAACTAGTTAAAACTTCATAGAGACTTGAGGCATTATGGTGGCTGTAGTAAGAATAAGTTATTTTGGTATAAGGAATACTGTGGTATGCTTGTGTCAGCAATTGTGGCTAGGTAAGTTCAAGATAGATAGATTGAAGACCAGCCTTCCCCTATCCCTGCCTTTCAGCCTTGTGCCAGATTTTTTATATTTTTCAAAATAAATATTACTTTTCTCTATTGTACTTAACTTTATGAATTTAAGCATAGTACTAGATTGGCAGCTAGGTCTCATCATTTTACAGTTAAAATGGCTAGATATAACCATTAATTCTATGCAAACAGTTTCTTCCTTACACTACCTCATCTCAGAAATATAGACAGATACTGAGTTTCTTTCTTCGTTTACACTTCTCGTTTGTTGAACTATCTTCCAGCTTCTTCCTTCTCAGTCTTTGATCTTCTAAAATTTAAATCCATTGTTGATCGTTATCTTCTGTCTTCTTAATTCTTGTTCTTTTATTGTTCTCTCTCTTTAATAGTGTTTTTTTTTTCTCTCATATTCTCTCACACCCAGTAACCCCCTTGCTTCTTAGTAGCTTTATTGGCTTGCTTGGGGTGAAATGATTAAAAAAAAAAAAGTGCAAAGTCAATAAGAAACAGAAAAATTGATATATTTCCTCATGAAAAAATAAACTGGATAAAATATTAAACCAAGCAATTGAAAATGTTAAATTTTGGTTAAAAAATGTTTTTTTCTTCATTCTTTTTCAACAATTAAGCTATTCCGTTATCCAGAATTTTGAATTATCCAAACATTTTTCAACCTCTGTCCCAAGGGCTCCAGACAGAAGTGAACTGTTCAAAAATGTTATTACCATAAGAAAAGGTGGAGACAGTAAATTTATTTCTTACCAGAGGTGGGGGGGGCAATGATCCCAGGCATCCATATTGGGAGGGCATCTAGTCAAAGAGTGAAATAAAAATTTAGTTTATATTTAATTTGAATGAAGTGTTTATTTCATGTTTCATCTGTTTTGACATATTTAAAATGTTGTCTTTACTCACATTTCTCAGTACTAGTGCATATAGGCCTCCCCCTGCTACTTGAGTCTTAGGGGCATACAATCAAGCAGCTGGCCCCAGGGATCACCACACCACTGTTTCTTACCAAAACATTATTTACTGACTTTATTGATTTTAAAACTGGATTAATTTGGGAGCAGTCTTAGTAACACCTTTTCCAATTTATTAAAAAAAAATCTTCTATATGTATACAGTGTTTAAGTTCGACCCTCAGATGCTCAAGAAATTACTAATTTTGAAATATTTCAATTTTATTTGTCATCTTATTATAATTTTGCTTACCCTCCCATAAATAATGGATTATTCCCCTTTGATTGTGTGAAAAATGGACATGACATATCAGACGCTACTTGGTTTCAGTGAGAAAATGAAAGAAAAGAGATATGGAGTGTTTAAGTTCTCAGTACCTCATAAATAAGAGACTTCCATTTTCATTGCGTGGAAAGACAGAAAAGACATATCAGAGACACTACGTGGTTTCAATGAAAAAATGAAAGAAAGATAGAACTGTTTAACATCTGCTTCAGTGAACAAGTTGCCTATTTCAAAGAAAGAAAAAAAACTCCCTACCTCATAAATAATGAACTGTTTCCTTTTGACTGTGAGGAAAGATGGAAAAGACATATCAGAGACACTGTTTGATTTCAGTGAGAAAAGTAAGTTAGTAAACAAAATTCAAAAAGGAAAGCTGTGAAATTTTCACAGGTATGACAAATATGGAATATTTGTATTGATAAGAAAAATAATTTCTTATCTAACATTTTTTGTAAGCTTCACTCATAGGGATAATATTTTGTCCTGATTTCGTCTGGAGTTAGCAGCAGAAAAATTCCATGCCAACAAGAAACAGACAAAAATTGAGGCAATTGTCAATTATCCAATCATATTTTTCAACCCTTATCCCAAAATGTCCATATAATAGAGGAAGTACTCTAACATACCTGTCTTGGCTGACAATATCCAGAGAAGTTGCTAATGTAATTTTATTGCTTTTGATCACTATATAATTTGTGTTTGAGCATCTTTTCCTATTTTATAATTGCTAATTGATTCATTGGTTTCTTTTTTACGGCTTAGCAACCTTTTGCAGGTTATTTAAAGCCAGAAAAATATTTTTGAATTGTAAGAATTTTTTTAGTGATAATAATGTTTAATGATACAAGTACTTCTAATTAACCTATAGCTGGGGGAAGAAGAGGTGGATTCATACCTTATCCAAGAGTATTTGTATGTGACTAAATATAATGCACTCGATCAGAATTATAACTCAACTTTCTGAATTTCAAACCATTATCGATTACACCACCTGCACAGACTATAACACATCCAGTCCAGTTCGATTCGGGGTCTTTCCCACGCTGGTCATCTGATGGTTATCTGTTGACCACTTTGTTCCTTCATCTGCTCTGCCCACATTTTGTTCTTTGATTACAGTGTAATGAAGATTGCATTTTTGGCTCAACATGCGCAACAAGTCACACAGCTTCTTCAGTCCACCCTCTGATGGTTTCTTGTTGCCTTTGGTTGTTTTGCTGTTCCAACTGCAGCTCAGTGTTCAGTTTATATGTATTTTGCCCAACTTCTACCACATCTCAACTCATTATGTATTCATCAATTATTTTCTCTAACCCTGGAGACGTGATACCAACCCTTAAACAAAGCAGTTAGCTATTTCGAAACAGTAAACTTGCAGCATCTGGTATTCCCAAATGGTCACCCATCCAGGTACTGACCATGACTGATGTTGTTTAACTTCAGTGCTATAATTGCTACTAAAACATGGATACTCCCCCAATCACTACAATCTTAACATGTCTCTAGGTTAACCATTATCTTTTCACATATGCACATAATCTATGCCTCTTACCTTGTAATACACTACCTCAAGTGGCTCTCGGGTCTTGTACACGGTGGACACCATTGTTTAAAAAAAGTTAGAAGTGGCATATCATCTTTTTGTTACTGTTTTTATTGATAGTTTGTGTTAATTTATTTTTTTCACACAGGCAGGTGCAATGATAGCCAGGTGTTGTCCGAATTGGTTTATTCAGCCTCCCGGCTAATGATCTTAATGAATGACATGATCCTACAACAAGCGGTCAAAATTGTCCCTAAAGTGGTAAGTCATTTCTATTCTTGTTTTTCCAATTAAAATTTATTTACACACCTACCCACAACATCAAAAAAAAAAAAAAAAAACAGATGACATCTATGAAATTGTTATTTTAAGTCTTTACTATTGTTACCTATGTGACCCTTTCAATGTATTTTTCCAATTATTATATTGATACCTATTAATTATTGCAGAGGATCAGTTTATTACTTTAAAATAATTGAAAACAGATCCCCCACTTTATGCCCATTAAAATCTTATCTTCATACTCGTTGACTCATGACATCAAGATGATGCCATATTTACAATTATTATATTCATATGTAGTAAGTTTTGGGGGTATCAGTTTATTACTTTAAAATAATAGAAAACAGATCCCTCACTTTATGTCTATTAGACTCTTCATACTCGTTGACCCATGCCATCAATATGATGCCATATTTTGTTAAGTCTTTATTATTATTAGCTTTTCACATGTGAGCATTTCAATATATTTTACCAATTATTATATTAATATGTAGTAATTTTTGCGGGGGATCAGTTTATTACTTTAAAATGATAGAAAATCGATCCTCCATTTTATGTCTATTAGAATCTTATCTTCATACTCGTTGACCCATGCCATCAAGATGATGTCATATTTTGTTAAGTCTTTACTATTATTAGCTTTTCACATGTGAGCCTTTCAATATATCTTTCCAATTATTATATTAATATGTATTAATTGTTGGGGGGGATCAGTTTATTACTTTAAAATAATATGAAACCGATCCCCCACTTTATGTCCATTAGAATCTTATCTTCATACTCGTTGACCCAAGACATCAAGATGATGCCATATTTTTAAGTCTTTACTATTATTAGCTTTTCACACGTGATCCTTTCAATATATATTTTCCAATTATATTAATATGTAGTAATACTTGGCAGGGGGATCAGTTTATTACTTTAAAATAATGGAAAACAGATCCCCCACTTTATGTTCATTAGACTCTTATCTTCATACTCGTTGACCCATGCCATCAAGATGATGCCATATTTTGTTAAGTCTTTACTATTATTAGCTTTTCACATGTGACCCTTTCAATATATTTTTTCTTTTATATTAATTTAGGGATGGATAAATTTATTACTTAAAAATGATACAAAATTGATCCCTGAGTCTATATTACTAGAACTTTACTATTTACATTATTTGAACTGTTGTCCTCATCTTTATTGCCATATTCACAATGTTTCAGCCGTTGCATGATCTGGCCTTCTTCAGGTGATTGGAATTTTGAACTGAACCCTGTATTTCATCCACTGGGGTAGATTGTTCTTGTTCCATGTGCCATGCCTCTTCCAAATTTCTCAGTTATCTCCCTTTAATTCTACATTCCAAGTTTTTGTTCACCAAAGTGTTGGTTGGATCCAGTGACTTGACCCAAAGAGTCGTGAGTTCAATACCTGGCTACTGCAGTAGTGGATCAAAACTTGGAAAGTTGAGTTAAAGGGAGATAACTGAGGCATCCAGAAGAAGCATAGCACATGTAACAATCTACGCTGGTGGATGAAAGGGTTTAGTTCAAAATTCCAGTCACCTGAAGAAGGTCAGACGACTGAATATGACAATAAAGATCAGGATAACAGTCCAAACAATGTAAATAATTACAATACTTCATCTAAGAAATATAGACAAATATAGAAATTTACTTAAATAAATAATCTAGAGAAATCCTTATTTTAATGTCCTTGCTTTAGTAAATTAGTTCAACTAAAAATTTTGTAGATCATCCAAAAAATATTTTACAGACCGGCATCATCTAAACTAGGTGCCTCCACTAAGTCACTGAAAAAAGAGCAAATTAGTATTTTTTCATTATTTAATCATATTTTTTAATCCTTTTTAGAGTATTCGAAATTTTAGTTAAAATTCTTTTTCTTGCGTCAGTGGATAGACTATAAATTAGCATAGCAAATTTTAGCAGTTTTTTTTTTTTTCGTGAAAGACACATTGATTTCAAAATTCTTGCAATAATCAAATAATTGTTGGATCTTAATGAATCTTTCAGGAATAATTCACAAATGAATGAAATTATTTTAGACATCTTTTTTCTTTAGAAAAGCTTCATAAAAATATTTTACTTTTTACACGTGTTTTACCCCACTTAATTTTATGAAAATTTGAGAAATTCAACAAGATAATTTTTTAATAACTTATTATTTAAAAGCAGAACTCCTTGAAGAATTTAAATCATCAATGTTTTATTTTTTTTTTTGTAAAATCGTACGCCTTCTTACCAAAAGTTTACTCTGTAATGTAAAATAAAAAAATGCAAACTAAGAGATTAAATTAGAAAAGCTTTTAATTGCTTATATGAATCATACTTATTATAAAACCCAGGTTGTGTGTGTGTGTGTGTGTGTATGTGTGTGTGTGTGTGTCTGTTCGTTTATATATTGGATCGGATTTCCTACATTTTTCAACCGATATCAAAAAAAATTCACAGGACTACGTAAAATTACCTTGTGGTGGTTCTGACAGCGCCAAAAATTTGAAAAACACAATTGTTTTTGCATGAAATCAATTTGAAAACACAATTAAGAGGCATCACTGTCGCCAGAATGAAAGGGGGACAACTCATATCGAGTTATACTTATTATAAAACCCAGGTTGTTTGTGTGTGTGTGTTCATTTATATATAGAATCGGATTTCCTACATTCTTCAACCGATTTCAACGGAACTTCACTTTTTTTTGGCAGGTAGTGTTTCTTATTGTCTTGGACACTTTTTTCTTTATTTTTACATTCAGAATGCTTTAAAAATTCCATTTACAAGACAATTGTTTATAATAAAATTCTATTCAATTGGTAGACTCCTAACGATTGAAAACAATGTTTTTGTTTGAGTTTGACCAATTCGTAAAAAAAAAAAAAAAAAAAACGGAAAAAAAACTAATTAAGACATGCATGTCTGTCAACCTTAAACAATAATCTTTGTCAATTTTATTTTTCAGTCTTTATGATGGTTAATACTTGATCTATCTCTTACTGTTACATCCCCGGGCAACGCCGGGCTCTACTGCTAGTAACATATATTATGGAGACTATTGTCTTTAGAAAAAAAACAAATTTTCAATGAATAATGAATTTTTACAAGATTTGTTTTGATCTCTTTTACATTTTAATCAGAATGATTTATAAAGTTTTTAAATCTTTTAAAATTCACTTTCACTGGTATAATGGTTATGGAATATTGTTATTGTTATATTTACTATTCATAAATTATAAAGCTTATTACAATTTATGGACCCTAAATATTTTTTTAAAAAACTTGAATTGTGCATTTGTATGTTAGGTTTTTGTGAATACGGGTGACCATACATGACATTATCAGAAAATAAGAGCGATAACTTTAGTAAATTTAAAGCCAAAGTATCTAAAATTTAGTAAAACATTAAATTACAGAGAATATTTTCTTGAAAGCATTATATAAAAAAGGTGCTCACGTTATATTCTTCAATTATTTTGGTGGGTGGTAACAAACCACAAACGCACACATAAACACAAGTAAATGTAATAATGACAATCAACAATAAAATAATCAATAATAACAAACAATATAAATAACCAAGAAACTGCATTTGGATACACAATTATTTTGAATCAATAGCCCCTATAATCTAGACATGTATTAATAACCCACCTACCCCTAACTTCTGACCTTATTTTCATTTCTCTATATTATTAGCTTTAATCCATCTTTTGATTGGTTAATCAAGACATTGGCCACAAATGTGTTTTTTTAATTTTGGAATTATGGTCCCCTCCGTCCTTTTTGAACTCCCAAATGAACAACCGAATTGTTTTCTGATTTCCCAAGTAAATCATTTTCATCATAAGTTATCTAACGTCATCTGATGAGGAACAATTTTTAAGTTCCGAAACTCAGGAATTTTTGTGTGGCGATGTAAAATATATGTATATATGTATATATAAATAAAAAGAAAGAACAGTAAGATATATAATCCGATGGAACTAATTTAATTAATTTAATTACACAATTAAATTCGACGCTTTCAGCTTCCATTTTTGAAACATGGTTAGAACTGTGTAGTGAAAAAAAAACATATTTTCAATTAATTAATTTATAATATTATATATATATATATATATATATATATATATATATATATATATTATTCAAGCATGTTTCATTAAATAATATATTTCTATATTATTTAATGAAACAAGCTTGAATAAAGATATGCTGCCTAAATATACATATATATATTATCATATATATTATTCTTCTGTATTTCAGCCTTTGTCCCAAGACCGTTTGATGCGACTACTGACAGTTTTGGAATACATTGAAGTTTTTGTTGAACTTGCCGTCAAAAAAATGTGGGGAGAAGTTGGTCGCTGGATCGTTGTGACAGTTATTCAGTTAGCCAAGTAAGTATTTCCTACAGATTCTGCTTTAATTTTTCGGGGATACATTCACCCACTCTTCAGAAGATCTTTGCTTGCATTTTATACAAGTTTTTGTTTTACATCAGACAAATTGGCAGGACTTAAGTTTATGACCACTCTGCATTTAATGGCCTGGCCATAAGTGAGGATTTGTACCTGACCGTAATTTCAGTTTGTCATCCAGCTTTGAACAACTTTAATGTCACTTTTGTACCATTTGTAACATTTTTTTTACAACTTATCATTCTTTTGCAGATTATTCAAAGACAGAAAATATCTTTAGATTGTAAGAATTTTTTTAGAGAGAATAATGTTTTTACTTATACAAGTCCTACTAATCAGGGCTGGCACATACTACCCTTGAATCCCCTGGCCAGACGGGCCAAGTCTAATTGGGGCCCCAGGTAGTGCTTTGTGACCTTCACTACCTTATCAACATTTGCTTTCTTTCTATCTACATTTGTATACTTTACAAATTAAACTAAGCATAACAAACTATTAAAGGATGAAAAATGTTTGTGGATTTTGACGTCATTATAGGGCTATGGATTTTGACGTCATTCTAGGGTCGTGGATTTTGACGTCATTCTAGGATCGTGGATTTTGACATCATTCTAGGGTTCTTTTTTTTGTCCAAATCCAAGAATTTGTTTTATTCATGGTAAGTCTCGAAAAACCACTACATAAAATTCACTAATTTTTATTTTTCATAATCTTGAATGTATTATAATTATTCATTTAACAAGAACAATCTCAAGTTGATGTTAAAAATTGCTGCAAAACCTTGCTGATTTATTTAAGAGTGTAATTCAGACTTAGTACGATGATTTCTCGTTCTACACTATTAACCAATATGCCACCTGCACATTCAGGGTTATAGGCAGAAACCTATAATTAATACTGTATAAGCCTATAATTAATACTTTAATGTTTTTAGAGACCTATAATAAATACTTTTAGAAACATATAATTAATACTGTATAAGTCTATAATTAATACTTTAATCAATATTTTTATAAACCTATAATTATTTATAACCCATAATTAATACTAGATTTTTTATAAACCTGTAATTAATAAACCTATAATTAATATTTTAATGAATATTTTTGATAAACCTATAATAAATACTTGTTTAGAAACTTATGATTAATATAAGATATTTGTTTTAATTTTTTAAACTCTTTTTTAATCAGCAAGAAAGTTGATAATACCACTAAATAGAACAAGAAAACTTTAGAAGGGACTGGAAGCCCAAATCTGAACAGGGAAAAAGGAATAAACTTCAACTACTGTTCAAAAGACAGGTTAGGAGTTTGAACTTAATTCCGGATTTTAGGGTGGTTATCAATACTTAATTCCGTATTGTAAGGTGGTCATTAATATTTATTTCCGGATTTATGGTGGTTTTTCATAGGTTAACTTTAATTTCTGTTGGACACCATAAGAAGATTTTGTTTGCAAAATGGTTGCTTACGAGTGACCTCCCTTGAATATTTTATTGAATTTGTTATTGAATATATTAATGTTTTAAATCTGTAATATTTCACTTTCCTTTTTTTCCTTTGTATTTTTGAAGTCGTATTTTTTTTCCTCCCAGAGCTGTGCTGCGATTTTTATTGCTAATTTGGTACCAGGCAGGGATCCAACCAACACCCCCAATTCCACCACTTGACAGAGAAATTTTAAAGAGATCAGGAAAGCAGACAGACGTATGTATATTTTCTTGTTATGCCATATCTCTTCAGGATGTAGGGATTATTGCCCTCTACAGTTTCTTTTTCGTTATTATCTGCGAATTGCCATGTATTCTTTGGAAAGATGAGAGATTTCCTGTTGCTTTCTCTGCAGTTTTACATTCAGAATTGTCTTTCACCTAGATTGGGTGTTACTCAAGACTACTAGAAAGCCCAGTCTACCCTACTATTTAATACACCTATTGGGGTGGGGTGGAGAAGAGATAGATTTATACCTTTCCTAAGAGCATTAGTATGAAAAGAATGCAACAGATGAGACTGGAATCTTTGTTTTGATTCAAATCCAGTTGTCTTAAATCGATTTGTTCAAATGTGTACAGAAGATGAAATGTTCAAATTTGCACCTGTCGTGTTTATTTTAACAGCTGATACCTTGGATAGAAATTTAAGGAGGATATTATGTTGCCAATGGAAAATAAAACCTGTATGTTTTGTTAGGCAATGTTCTTACAATATTTCACCTTTTGTAGATCTTTTAGTATTACAATGTTGGATTTTTAATAACAAAAGTTATCAGTCTATATTTCTGAGATGAGGTATTATGTACACTATTTACATTATTCAGACTATTGTCCTCATCTTTGTCGACATATTTATTACAACGTTTCGGCCTTTCAGTATCTATCTATATTTCTGAGATGAGGTATTATGTACACTATTTACAGTATTCAGACTATTGTCCTTATCTTTGTTGCCATATTTATTACAACGTTTCGGCCTTTCAGTATCTGCTATATTTCTTAGATGAGGTATTATGTACACTATTTACATTATTCGGACTATTGTCCTCATCTTTGTTGCTATGTTTATCACAACGTTTCAGCCATTGTACGCTCTGGCCTTCTTCAGGTGATTGGAATGTCAAACTGAGCCCTTTATTTTGCTTGCTGGTGTAGGCTGTTCTAGTTGCAAGTGGCACAGTGGATAAAGGCGTTAGTTAGAACCAGTGGCAGGACCCAAAGAGTGTGAGTTCAATACCTGGTTAAGGCAGTGGAGAACTTGGAGAGGGAAATTAACAGGAGAAAACTGACATCCATTAAACATGGGACGTGGAACTAGAACAGTCTGCCTCAGTGAGCAAAATAAAGGGTTCAGTTCGACATTCCAACCACCTGAAGAAGGCTGAAGCGTACAACAGCCGAAACGTTGTAATAAATATGGCGACAAAGATGAGGACAATAGTCCGAATTATTATGTAAATAGTGAACAAAAGTTATGAAAGCATGAAAAAAATGAATCTAAATGAAAATGGCTAGACTACATTCTCAAAACATTTTTTTTAAGCATTTCACCCCAAGCAAGGCAGGAGTACCACTATCACACTAGGGGTTACAGAGAATGAAAGTAAGAGTAAAGAGGAATGTTTTAGGAAAGGATAAAGAGAAGGACGGGGATGAAGATCAAGGCATTTATAGTTATCAGAGAAGCAAGTAAGAGGAAGCGAGTTCCACTGTCGGGAAGTGCGAAAGAAGCTATTGGTGTAGAAGAGGTGGTTAGATTTAACAGTTTTGACAGGAAAAAGGTGGGACTGAGATGCGAACCTAGTAGCACGCTTAAATTCATAAAGTTGGGGTACACCAGTGAAAACAGTTTGTCAGAGCAGATGCCATGAAAATATTTGTAGAAAAGACAGTGACTGGATTCGAGACCCCAAGTCAGGACCCGATCACATTGCATATCCGTCTTTGGATTTTATTGAGAACCTCGAGATGTGTAAAAAAAAAAAAATAAAGTTTTAAATTTAAATTTTAAATTTCAGTGTCTCCTCTCTTTCATGAACGTGTGTAATCATATCAATGTAAACATCACTTTAATCCGATGACACCCTAAATGATGAAACCTGTTAGACGAAAAAAATTTTCCACTTTGTGATAGATTATCCTTATATTAATAAATATAAATATAATATATCGCACATATAATGCAGATGTTAATAAAACAGTGTCCGATGTAATACAACAGAGTATATATTAATAAATATACATATTATTTGTCACTGCTAGCACAACTTGTAGTTTTATGCAGAACGCAATCTTCAGGTGCTGGGTAAAGACTGATCATTATATGATTTAAATTTTAATAAAAATATCTACTTAATGCAATGTTCGTATAGTTCATAGTTGCATTTAGAATAGACGGGTTTTTTAATTTTATATATATGTAATAAAAAAAATATTAATTTTTGTTTAAAGCTATGAATATTAATTATATATATATATGGAACATGTTGGATAATGCTTAATATCAATGATAGAGCTAATGTATTCAATTGTATGGATATATATATATATATAAAAATATATTCAATTGTATGGATATACGTTTGTAACCTTGTGTTTCACGCTTTTGTGATCATCATGTTTGCATAATGATCACAAAAGCATGAAACCCAAGGTTACAAACTCATATCTATACAACTGAATATATTTTTATATATATATATATATATATATATATATATATATATATAAAAAGTTGCAAATTAAAAAAATAATGTTTTTTTATGGAAGTATTTATATATATATTTGATATTTCAGATTGACATCAATCTATCTTCAGAAATAACTGTTTGTTTACAAGTAGCGTCCGTTGCGAAATGCGGACGTCACGTGATATGGAACGCCACTGTATTCAAATATTCTTAATGTAAATCTAACTGTAATAATATTTTAGATGTTGTTTAAAAAAATTAAAAAATTTTTAACTATATCTAAAAAACGTTTAACTATTGAAATATTTATAAAGATTTAAAATATCCAAGTCTTTATTTAACCTTAGTTTATATGTATTTAATTTTAAAATCCAATATTTTTCTTTTTTTCTGTGTGTGTATGTGGAACTAAAATCAGAATCTATCAATAAACATTTGCAGTTTTCTAATGAGCGTCCTGATTGATTAAAGTGTTCAGCTATGGGGGAATAAGGATTGTTTTGACGTATGGTTTGTTTATGATTATTGAAGCGAAATCTAAAATTATTTCCAGATTCACCAATATATCCACTATTAGGACATAAGGTGCAGAATAAATAGTAGATTATGTTATGCCTATAACAGGTGAGGTGGGTGTATCTTGATATTGGTGTTGGGTACAGAAAATACATTATCTATTATTAAGTGTTTGCAAACTAAGCAACGAGGTTTGTTACATTTGTAATTTCCTGATTGGTTTGTATTGATTAGATATTTGGTAGAGGTAAGGATAGCTGATAGGTTAGGTGATTGTTTAGATATTTGGTAGAGGTAAGGATAGCTGATAGGTGATTGTTTAGATATTTGGTAGAGGTAAGGATAGCTGATGGGTTAGGTGATTGTTTAGATATTTGGTAGAGGTAAGGATAGCTGATAGGTTAGGTGATTGTTTCTTTGCATTTATGGGTGGTTTATTGAAAATGTCTTTGATCTTTTTGTCTAACTGGAGGTTCTTGTAATCCTTTTTAAATTGTGAATAAGTGTGTGAATATTGATTGTGGTTAAAAACCATGGGAATCCGATTGTTGTTTTTACTTTTCTTGTATGTGAGAAGTGTGTTACGATTTATGTGGATAGTTTTATTTAGTGCTTCTTTTATTTTTTTTATTGGGTATTTACATTTTAGGAATTGTTTTGTTAAGTTATTAATGTTGTATAGAAAATCTAGATGGTCTGAGCATATGCGTTTGATTCTTAGAAATGAGCTGTATACAATAGATTTTTTTAATTTACGGGGATGACAGCTGTTAAAGTGATGGAATTTTTGTTGGTTTGTGGGTTTGTTGTATAGACTGGTAGAAAGTGTATGTATGTCTAATTTTATCATAACGTCTAAGAAAGGGATGGATGTGTATGAGTGCTCCATGGTAAATTTAATTGTATCGTGGAAGTTGTTGCAGAAAGTGAAAAAAAATTTTATTTTTTCTTATCCATGAGTCCATAGTAAGAAAATGTCATCAATATATCTGAAATAATGTAATGGTTTAAATTCTGAATTGTCTAGTATCTTCCTTTCTAGAATGTGCATAAAGATATTAGCATAACTAGATGCCATTTTCGTGCCCATTGCTGTGCCACTTATCTGTAAATAGTGTTTGTTGTTGAATTTAAAATTATTATGTGTTAAAATGAAATTTATTAATTGGCATACATCTGTAATTTGGTAGTTAGGTAATTTTTTGTTACTAAGGAACTCATAGCAAGCTGATACTCCTTCAACATGTGGAATGTTCGTGTAAAGGGACGAAACATCCATCGTTACTAGGATTGTATCATGGTGGACTAAGTTAATGTTTTGTAATTTGTTGAGAAAGTCAGTAGTGTCTCTAATATAACTAGGTATTTCGGGCAATAAAGGTTTTAGGATATGTACCCAGATATAAGTTCTGTGAGGGTACCAATGCCTGATATTATGGGTCTACCAGGTGGCATGATTTTAAGGGATTTTGAAATTTCATAGATGTTCTCTTCATGATTTGAATGTGTAATTTGATGTGGGTCGGATGAAAAAGTGTTAGGGTGTTTTTCTGAAAGGATTTTGGGGAGTTTATGTAGTTTTGGGATAGTGTAGAATGTTGCTGTTTTAGGGTTCTCAGGAATAAGAGATTTTATGGTATTTTTATGTTGTAGTTCAGGTTCTGAGTGAGAAGTGATAATTCTGTTTTGAATGTGCTAGTTGGGTCTAGAGGTAAGGGTACATAGAATCTGTTATTTTGAAGTTGTGATTCTGCTTCTTTAATGTAGTTGTTAGTGTCTAAGATGGTTATAGCTCCGCCCTTGTCAGCTCATACGATAATTATGTCTCGGTTGTTTTTAAGAGTATAGATGGCTTGGTGTTCTATTTTGGATAAGTTGTATTTTTTTATCTGGTGTCCTTTGTTTTTTAAGAAGTAATCCATGTGTTGTCTGGCTTTGTGGGCATATTGATCCAAGTGTTGGTTACGTCCGCTTGGTGGGGTCCATATATCGTTATTCTTTGTAGGAGGAAGTTTGGAGCTTGATTGGTTAGTGCTGTTGTCTGTATTAGAAGTAGATTTGTTGTCTGAGAAATGTTCTTTTAGTCTCAGTCTACGAAGGTATTTTTCCATATTGTAGCAAAGGTTTAGAGGGTTTAGTGGTTGTGAGGGGGATTTCACTTCAACAAACATAAACAAACCATATGTACTGATATATATATATATATATATATATAGATTTCGCTTCAACAATCATAAACAAACCATATGTCAAAACAATCCTTATTCCCCCATAGCTGAACACTTTAATCAATCAGGACACTCATTAGAAAACTGTAAATGTTTATTGATAGATTCTTATTTCAGTTCCACATACAGACACAGAAAAAAAATACTGGATTTTAAAATTAAATACATATAAACAAGGGTTAAATAAAGACTTGGATATTTTAAATCTTTATAAATATTTCAATAGTTAAACATTTTTTTAGATATAGTTAAAAAAAATTTTATTTTTTTAAACAACATCTAAAATATTATTACAGTTAGATTTACATTAAAAATATTCGAACACCGTGGCGTTCCATATCACGTGACGTCCGCATCTTGCGACGGACGCTACTTGTAAACAAACAGTTATTTCTGAAGATAGATTGATGTCAATCTGAAATATCAAATATATATAAATAAATAAATACTTTCATAAAAAAAACATTATTATTTTTTTAATTTGCAACTTTTTCTGTATATACATATTAAGAAAGTATACGTGGCTTCTCATTATGGTATATATATTTATTTATATATATATATTTATGTATATATGTATTTATATATATATATATATTTATTTATAGAAAAAAGTACAAATAAAATAAAAGCAGCAAAGAATTAAACCATACAATACTTAAGGAGAAGATTTAAGAAAATTAAGATAACCTCCTCGGTCATCCATCGAAACTGCAATCCACCGAAATAAGAAAAGAAGCCAGTCCCCACCGCAGGCCATTTAAAAGATATTTCGCACACCGGATTGGTTGTTACAAACATCCAATCCAATGTGCGGAATATGTGGTCTTTCTTCTTCTTATTCTTTAAAAAGGCCAGAGTGGCTGTTAGCGTTTAATTAGAAGGGGGAATCAGGGGTTGATCTCCTCTGATTGGGTCGACTTGGTGATGGACCAAGTCAAAAACATCACTGACGACCCCCTTGGTCGCCTACTTAAAAGCATATTTGTGAATTATATATTTATATATTTATTTATATATATATTTATATATTTATATTTTATATATATATATATATATATATATATATATATAATATTTAAAGTTGTGAATATTAATTTTATATTAAGCATAAAGGGAGATTACTGAGGTTTTTTTTAATTTAAAAAAATTTAAAAATTTCACCTGGATCAATGTATTTCAATATATTTATTATTATGCCTACATCTAACAATAAATTCATTTCTCTTGTTTAATAAGTTATAATATATGAATGTCTTTTTTTATATGATTTTTTAAATTTCCTTTTCTTTTCTTTTTTTAAGCTGCTGGTTGAAGACTTGTTACCAGAAAATTCTAAACCCCAAGAGACTTTTGTTCTGAAACGATCAGGAAAAGTAATGCGTACCTTAACAGCAGGTAACTGATCTTTCTGTTTCTGATATTCCTGTTCTATCTGCGTTCTCTTCCTTTGTTTGTGTGTGTGTGTGTGTGTGTATATATATGTGTGTGTGTTGGAATGTGTCACGAAAAAATAAATGACTTTGTCTCTTTCTCTCCTGCTGTTGTAGTGACGGACACAGTCTCCACTTCTGAGACTGAAAAAAACTGCCCTCTTTCTCATTCCAGCCCTTTACAAAGAGCTTGGTAACTCACCTATGCAAAACACCAACAAGCCAGCTACCAATCATAGTTCCCGCGCCTGCCCACCTCCACTCGCTTTGGGGGTGTCAAATTGACCGACCAACTCATTACAATATATATATATATATATATATATATATTCTTCCTATAAGAACACCATAATCTCTCTTAATTCTGCTTTAGACCAAGGCTTCTAGTAGAAAGATGTTGAATCTAATCTTTAAGAAAACTTGTTGATGTTCGATGTACTGATACATCCAAAAAGGCCAATTGAAAATTGGATTCCTTCTCAACAGTGTACCTCAGTGCTGGATGGATACCATTTAGAAAAGAAAGAAACTGATCAGCCTCAACTTTGCTTTGAATAAACAAAAGGTATCATCGACATACCGACAATACATTTGAGGACAAAGTGGACTCTTTCGTATCTTTTCTTCATGAAAGCCAACAAATATATGAGCCAGTGCCAGACCCAAAGGGGAACCCATAGCAACCCCGTCAATCTGTCAAAACATGGACATTCGACAGAGGACATGGCAAATTTCATAAATTCAAAAAATACTGACAAGTATATAGAGAACAGACATCAAAAGAGCACATGAACTTACCAGAAGAAGACAAATTTTGAATACGGTCAACAAAGGAAAATGAATCCTTTATGCAAAATCTACCCAAGCACTGCAACACAGGTTCCAAAAGTGTTGAGAGCCATTGGGCTACCTTGTGTTGGGCTGAACCAATCATTGATAAAATTGGTCATAATGGTACCCTTTCTTGGATCTATTAGTACATTGAACATCAACAAGTTTTCTTACCTTGGTTTATAGAAAACCTACTTTTGCAGGGTTGTATACTTGGTGGGACTCTTTTTGTCCCACTAAACGCAAGATAAACATTATTAAAACCCTCCTACACAGGGCATTAAAGATCTGCTCGGAGCCCTTCTTGAACGATGAAATCGACTTTGTTAATGATACCCTATGTAGTTTAGGTTATCCTCTTAATACTGTTAATTCTCTTATCCGTAACAAAGTTGAGGAGTTCAGAAGTGTCAAAAAGTGCCCGGTTTATCTCAGATTACCCTGAATTGGTACCAAATGTGAAAGTATAGTTAAATAAAATTTCATCTAATGTTTGTCGTTTTTTCTCTGCTGAGGTTCGTATAATTTTTCAATCTCGGCCTATGTTTCATTCTGCGTGTAAAGACGTTCTCCCTCCCCATCAAATTAATTCAATTATTTATAAATAGGTTTGTAGTTACGGAGCTGACTACATAGGGAGAACAACACAACACTTAGACATGAGAATAAAACAACACGTTCCTACAAAAATTAGGAATCATACCATGCCGTTCAATGGACTCGTCCCGAACACCTATGGTTCCACCATATGCGAACACCTATTAAACAGCAGAGATTGTGCAGCCAAATTCAGTGTTGACTGAATCACCGTGTTGTCCCAGTCACACTCTTTATTTCATCTTAAGGTTCTGGAGGTATTTTACATCGGGTCCCGCAAGCCTTCTTTGTGTAAACAACGTGAATGTTTGTTGGGGCTCACTGTCATTTGTCTCTAGTTCCTTTTGCTCATTTTTTTTTTTCCTCACCTCCACAACTTCCTTTTTATTGTACATTTTCTGTTGTTTCTAATTTAAATTAAATCTCCCGTTGAGGCCTGATGAGCAGGAGTGAAACCGGTTGCTTCACCCGTTTTTAGTATGTTTAGTAATATTAAGTTTTACACTTTTATTTCTGTCATTAAATATTTTTGTAGGTACAAAATTGTACCTACAAAAATATTTTTATATATATATAAAAGAAAGAGGTTGTAGTGGTTCCAACAAGAGAAAAATATGTATATTCAAAAGAAGAGAAGAGAGGTGCCGCAAACGTTTTTGGTTGTAATGTGGGTTTTTTTTTAGAAAAAAAAATATTTTGTTTTATTTTTCCGGCCTAGAGATTGAACTCACTATGACTATGTCACCATATTCATAAACCTAATCTATTAGGCTTGTCAATAGGACAATAGCAAAATTCCCTGTAGTTTACCCAGATCGGCATACACCTGAGGAAGGGCCAAGGGTACAACAGTTGAAACATTGTGATAACAACAACAAAGGTGAGGACAATAGTCTTCATGTAAATAATGATAACTTCTCATCCCAAAAATTCAAACAGAAAGTAAATGGCTTGAATTTCTTACATGAACACTAGTAATTGTAATTAAACAAACACCGAAAGAGACTTGTGGCCACAAGTTCCAGACTTTATTAAACTAAAAGCTGGTTACAATATGACCATGAATTCACCAGGCTTAAAGTTAGTAACCAATCATGTGATTCCAGTGGTTAGTGTGTTAGTATGGAAGCTCACACATAATATAATTACACTTTCTTGTCTTGTGGAAAAATTAACCTCAGTATTAAGAACTACATCTAATATTTATTGCTCTCCATAGCTATTGAGCACTTCATTGGCAGAAATTCTGTTAAACAAGACATTTGTTGAATTGTATAATTTTATGTATATCAATAGGTGTCATTACAATATATATATATATATATATATATATATATATATATATATATATATATATATATTCCTTACTCCTATATACAAACTTCTTTTTTCTTCCCCCACTTCTTTCTCTTCAATAGTGTCACAATGGAGGCATATTTAAAAAAAAAATAATTATTATACATATATATATAAGCAAATATATGGATATAGATCCGACAGTATGAAGAAAAATATACGGAAAAAACAAACAAAAATCTTAATATGCAATTATGCTGTTTTAATGTTAATATAATGTCAACGTCCTGAAGATGGTCTATTAGACTGAAACGTCCGACGTTGACATTATATTAACATTAAAACAGCATAATTGCATATTAGGATTTTTGTTTGTTTTTTTTCCATATATTTTTCTTCATATATATATATATATATATATATATATATATATATATATATATATAAAATTATTAAATGTTAGTGTTATAATAAGCATAATTTTTTACTAAAAAACTTTTCTCTACTAAATTTTTTTTTTCTGATGATGATGGCCATACTGGTTAGTGTGTTACTATTCAGTGTAATGCAGTGGAAATAAGATGACACACACAAAAAAAAGACACTAGTCAAAAAAGAATAATAATTGTTATTTGTTGTGCTTGTATTGCAGCCCCTCGCAGCTTTTGTCGGACATGGACTCTCCCAGAACAGGACGATGTTGAAAATAAAATGGAATACTACCAACCATCTGAATTATGTCGTATGCGGATGTTGGCAGAAGGAATTCATATTACACGACCTCTTGTACATAGTATCCTTTTCAAAGTTGATTTAATTTAATTTTTTGCACATTAAAGTTAGCAGAAAAGCATGGAACCCGAAGGGCATTCCACAAGCAAGAAGTGTGAGAAAAGAAACTGTTAGCATAGAACATATGGTTACATCTAACCAGCTCAACAGTAAAGTAATGAGATCTCAATGCCAGTCTAGTACTGTGCTTAAATTAATAAGCCTAGGTCTCATAGCTCAGAGCTGAACCAAACAATTACCATGAAAGTATTTATAGAAAAGGCACAAAGAAGCAAGCTTATGACTGTGGGAAACTGACTGAAGCCGAGTGGGAAGAGGAAACAGTAATCAGGAGGACACTAGATAGCCATTGACATTACATTTAAATTTTTCTATAGATTAAGGTTGGTTGTAAAGCATGGATCCGGAAGAGAGTTCCACAAGCATGGTAGTAAAGTCACTATGACACAAGAGGTTACAGGGTGTGGAATAATTACGAACAGAAACATAATTAATAAGTGGGAAGAGGAAAGAGTAATCAGGACAGTAGATAGTGATTGACATTGCATTTAAATTTTTGAAGATTAAAGTTGGCTGGAAAGTATGGAGGTAGAAGGGAGTTCCACAAGCAAGAAGTGCAAGATAAGAAATTGTTAGCATAAAATTTACAGTTATATCTAGCCAGCTCAACTGGAAATTGATGAGATTTTGACGCCAGTCTAGTACTGCGCTTAAAATCAAAAAATCTCGGTACCATAGCGAAGAGCTCATTCGAACAATTGCCATGAAAGTATTTATAGAAAAGACAGAGAGAGACAACCTTATAGCGATGGGAAAGTGACTGAAGCCAAGATGCTAGATCCAGACTCATAATATTGCAGATTCTTCTTTGGATTTTATCAAGGATCCCTAACAGGGGCACCGGGCCATATATGGCAGCAGTATTCTAAGCATGGATGAATGGTAGACTTATAGATATATAAGATTGTCTCACATGACACAGTGAACCAACTTTCTTAGTAGCTGACCTAGCAATGGATTCAATATAGTCTTTCTCCTTCATGTCATCTGAGAACATTAGCCCAACAGAGACTGTTTTAAGAGGCAAATATTAATGCAGACTATACATTTATCGAATTGCCATTAGACAGTTTATTGTTCTTAAGACTTTATTTGAATGAAAGAGGCGACAGTAGGAAGTGAAGTTTATGAGGATAGTCTAACCAGAATTAATAATGGTTGAAAAATATTGTTTAAAAAGTGAGATAATTAAATTAGCAGTTATAAAGTATAAAAATAAAAAAAAGATATTTATCTATTAACGGATTTAAATCTATGTCTGAGGAAAACAATAGAAATCCTGAAACATGTAGCCAAACTTAATAAAATGTTTATAATACATGTTTTACCGAAATTAGAATCATTCGAAATTCAATACAAGCTGAATCTTAGTTAGAATTCTTAACTTTTTCTTCTCAGTTTTGTATTTATCAATTAAAGGGCAAAAGTCCTGGAAACCTTGGTTATTTTCATGTGTGATGGATATTACAAGGTAAGTTCTCTTTTTTTTTTTTTTTTTTTTTTTTCAGAGTGAATGTGTCGGGGGGGACCCTTCTTGGTCTGGCTGAAAACTTTTCAGCATCTCCTAAAGTTAAAAAGATTAAAACTTATCTTGATCTGTGTTTTGAAGGATGGATATAAAGCATTGTTTTAATGGATGTCCCCCGTTTGAGTAGACACTCTGTTTATTTATTTATTTCGACCCCCCACCCTGCCAATATAAAAATTATCCTGGTCGGTCTTTTGAAGGATAGATATTTCTACCATTCTCAAGGATTTTATTAATGCAATAAAAACAGTCATAACAAAAAGGGTCCAATACAAAATTCCCCTAGAATTGTTGGCAATACAAAAAAAGAAAACAAAATCCTATAGAATGAGCTAACCAGATATCAATCTTCACGTGTCAGAACTCGATCTAGGAAAGTAAAATATTGTGTACACCGACTAAAAAAGAGAAACATAAGGGAGAAAATACATGTGTATCAATAACATATATATCTATATACAGGATATACTAAGTCCTAACAGCCAATCCTTTTGTTTGCATAAAGATGCTTGTCTTGATTTGACATAAATTGTCTCCAGGACTTTCACATGATAGATGGAATATGATCCGCTCAAAACTGAGAAGATATCCCCATGGAAGGATGATGTACATTTTAGATTTTTAATTAGATGTTTTGAGATTGCAAGATTGGGAACAAGAAAAAATGAAAATAAAATAAAAAATCATCCTGAATAAGTTAATTGGTTATTTCTCCTCGCTTGTCAGAACTCTCTCGAGGAAATTAAGATATTGTGCACACTGAATAAATAAGAGAAATATAAGGGAGAAAATACATGTGTATCAATAAGATATATATATATATATATATATATATACAGAGTATACCACATCCTAACAGCCAATCCTTTTGTTTGCATAAAGATGCTTGTCTCAAGAACTTTTGCATGATAATTTTCTCGGTCAAGTTCTGGTAGGTGAAGAGTGATAACCAATTCACTCATTCTATAGGATTTTCGTTCTTACTTTTTCTCATATAGCCAACTACTGTAGCTGAAGTTTTTATCTTTATTCATTTTAATTATGTCTGTTTTTATTGCATTAATTCAATTTTTGTTCCTCTAAGAGTCCCAAGGTTAAAGTTCAAATTTTGTCACAGAGTACTTTTATTTCCGATCTGTGATGTTTATTTAACACTCAGGTAATAAAAAATGACCAGATTATTATAAAATAAAAATTAAAAACGGTGAGGGTAACAAAATTTTAAATCAATACGGAAAATGCTTCATCTCGGAATTTCGGACCTCACAATCTGTAAATTGATGAAATTCGCAAGAGTGAAAACAAGGTAGATAACTCTTGTCAATAAATAATAAATTATCTCCCTTTGAACGCGAAACGCATGGATCATGAAACATGAAAGTTGCACCTTTTTAAAAGGCTGCTTTTTATTTTTCTTGGTCTCCGACCTCCTCCGCTCCCCACAAAAAACTTCTGATAACGTCAACAAAAAATGCCCATGACAATTTTTCTTCTTATTTTGTAAGTCCCCATATATTAAAATGATTTAAGTATCCAAAATATAAGAAAAGGTATTCTTGGAAATTATGTATATGCTCGGTTCCTTTTGTAGAATAATTGGCTATGGTTGTGCAATTGGCAAGAATGACCAACAAATAGAATTGACAAAGTTTCGAATAAACAATTAACAAAAGGAACAGGGCAAAATAATACTAAACAAATACTATATATGGAAGTCAAAATTAGACAAGGCAGGAATGGTGTTAACTTGCAAAAGGGATACAGTCAAGTGATTATATCATTCTGACTTAAAGACAAGAAAGAACAAAAATAGTGGTCCTGCTTATTGGTTATGAAGCATCATCAATATTATTGGTCCTTATCTGGATGCTTGGCTCCTGTCACTTCCCCCTTCCCACCATAGGGTTGTCTCTCTATGTCTTTTTTATAAATACTTTCATGGTAATTGTTCGAATGAGTTCTTCGCTATAGTACCGAGACTTTAGGAATTTAAGTGCAGTACTAGACTGGCGTTGAGATCTCATCAGTCTACAGTTGAGATGGATAGACATGGCCGTAAATTCTATGCTAACAGTTTCTTTTCTGGCATTTCTCACTTTAAAGTTGGCTAGAAAGCATGGAGCTGGAATATTTTTTTAATTGATTCTTATATACAGAGTGAATGGCTTACAGCACTTGGTATTTCCCCTGCACTTGCTCATCAGTGTCACGTTCAATATTGCTAAATTTGGTTATCACGTGATAACTTGTGTTTCAACATAATAAAGCCATAAGTAATTTGGCCAGATTGAAAAAAATATTCTTTCAAACATTTTGAAACTACCAGCATCTCTCATTTTGTGCACACGTATAGACGTGGCAACATCAGCAAAGCCCAGTCTAATGAAATCCTAATGGATGAAATGCGTCACAAAAATCTTTTACAATTTGTCATACTATTTTTACAAATACTGCTTGTTGACATATACAATTATACAAAATCATATATATATATATATATATATATATATATATATATATATATATATATATATATAAATAATCATAATGCTAGTTGGTGACATCCATCGCTAGTAGTACTAGTAGCGATGGATGTCGCCAATAATAGCATTAATATTGCTGATTGATTCTATGCATTATTATTTCTTTGTATATAAATTATATGCTGCCTAATGTTTTATATATATATATATATATATATTTGTGTATTTAGGCAGCAAATTTTCTTTTAGGAATCTCTGATTAAATAAATTACAGTCATTATGTCTGCTAATTTTTAACAAAATGTTCATACTCACAAATAACCTTTCATGTATTGATATTAAAGGATGAGAAAAATGTCCTATAACTGTTTTAATTTCTTTTATTTTCATTTCCCAAGTAATTTAGATCATGTTCATTAGTACAAGTATTTAAACAAATACAACAACATTCCTGTCCACATTCACAATATAAAAAATTACTAATCAACAACACAATTATCCTACACCATGAAAACAAGAAATTTAGATTACAGATACTAGAAGCAATTTATATTAAAAAATTAAAACCGGCACTGAACAGAATCAACTATGAATACAACAGTAATGTTCTGAAATGCCTGTAAAGGAACAGTTTTTGTTCATGTTTTAATGCACATGTGACCATGACATTATAACATAGAGAGACAAAATTCCATAGAATGGAAATCCAAAATTACCTCATTCAAATAGCTATTTCAACCAACAAAACGTACTTATTGGCTTTGTCAACACATAGGTGTGAATAAATAAAATAGGAGCCTAAAATTTAAACATTTAAAGAATAAAAATGTAATTTATATGCTCTGTTAAAGTAAATACATTGAGCTCTTTTTGTGGATCAGTTTTGATATTTAATATTAGGATTCACTTGGATTATATACCAACAGATTATTACTTGTGTGTGTGTATATATATATATATATATATATATATATATATATATATATATATGACTTCTGAAAAGAGGTAATGATTTGTTTTAAATTTCCCTAATAAATCATTTTTATCACAACTTACCTACCATTGCCTGAGGAAGTACAATCATAGTATTGAAACATGAAAGCTTTTGTATAGCAATGTAAAATGTTATTATAATCTAATGTAATAAAAATATCACACACACACACACACACATATATATATTAATTTATTTCTCTGGCCACTGACATTTGCTGTTGGATGTGGGGGGCTGGGAGTAAGTATCCTTTGATGTTGTTCACTCTTATCAGTCATGCTGATCAACTGCAAGAATGAAAGGTTGTGGAGCAGGGGCCTTGAAGAGGTTGTCAGTCAGGATCCAGACAAGGAGGGAGATAACTTCTTTGCTGAGTGTCAGACAGTTCAAGGTGGTAAATTGTCAACATTTGTCATTCACTTGTCATTAGTGTTGCTAATCTAAAAAAAGAAAAGACATTTAATTCATACAAGTTTCAAGACATTTTTTTCCTCTTTGTTACCACCCACCACTTTCAGTGTACACTCCTCCTGTCCTATAAACCATTCTAAATTAACAGGTACAATATAATGAAGTCAATTTTTTTTCTTGGTGCTGACAGTTGAGATCAGCTGACTACAAAGTAACCAATCAGAAGACAAAACCTGAATGTATCCTGAATCATTTTCTCGCTTATAATTAAAACTCCCAAGTCATTTTGATCTATTTTGGGTGTCATTTATATAACTCATTTTTATTAATCCAGACAATAAAGCCACCAAGACACAAAGTATTACGAGTGTGAAAGAATAAGTAAAAAAGACAAACATTATTAAGATGAAAGAAATCTCTTGGTAAATCTTGATTTCTTACAGAATTGGAAGTTATAAAAAGCAACTGAAATTAAAATGAAAGAAATAATGAAGAAAAATAAATCATGATTGACATTTTTAACTTTATTTTAATATTTTTATAATTATTTGATCCCAAGCAAGGCAATAAAGCCACTAAGATGTAAAAGGATACTGAGTGTGAGAGAATATGAGTAAAAAAAACATTGTTAAGAGAGAAAACTATAAAAGAACAGGAATTAAGAATAATTAAAGAAAAACTTGTAGTTCCAACGAATAAGTTATTTCATGGAAATATTTTGACTAACTATTGCTAGTATTGATCACAACTTTAATTTGATTGAGTAAAACAGTGAAAATAAGGCAACCTCAATTAAAAAGGTATGGTAAACATCATCAACTCGTTTTTTTTTTGGGGGAGTTCTTTTTTTGAATTTTAAAACTTTAATTTGAGTAAAACAGTGCAAATAAGGCATGGACCTCACTTAAAAAAGCCGCATGCTTTTGTAAACATCATTTTCTTTGATTTGAATTCTTGTGCTTTAGTTGTCTTGATCACAACTTTAATTTGAGTAAAACAGTGCAAATAAGGCATGGACCTCACTTAAAAAAGTTTTTTTGGGGGAGTTGAGTAAA